AAAACAGGCTAAGATAATAGCTCCACCCTCATGACCTAATTAATCTCCCAGAGGCCCTATCTCCTAATACCATAACATTGGGGGTTAGGATTTCAACATAATCAATTTTGGGAATAAATAAACACTCCGTCCATTGCAGACTGTCTTGTTTACAGTTATAATCACAGCAACTAGATCAGTACCTTGTTGAGGTATGATCAAGCCATGCCAAAGATTATTATTCCATGAAAGGACTAACAGTAAGTGTATTAGTCTATTCTCACACTGCTATAAAAAACTACCTGGGACTGGGCAATTTATAAAGAAAAGAGGTTTAATTGACTCAGAGTTCCACATGACTGGGGGCTGGGGAGGCCTCAGGAAACTTACAATTATGGCAGAAGGTGAAGGAGAAACAGTCACCTTCTTCACAAGGTGGCAGGAGAGAGAGACAGAGAGAGAGAGAGAGAGAGAGAGAGAGCAAGTGTGAGCGAGTGCAAGGGGAAGTGCCACACTTTAAAACCATCAGATCTCATGAGAACTCACTCACTATCATGAGAACAGCATGGGGGAGACTGCCCCCATGATGCAATCACCTTGACATGTGGAGATTACAATTCGAGATGAGATTTCAGTGGGGACACAGAGTCAAATCATATCTGTACGTGCTCAATATTTGTTGAATGAATGAATGAATGAGTGAACTCTCCCTTCATTTCTATGTCCACAAAACCTAGAGAACATGTGTGAAATGCTCATCTGAACCTTGAGGGAGAGATGAGGAGCTCTGCCCAGTTCTCTACAGCAAGCCTAGGAAGGCAGTTTTACAAAATGCCTGTGCACCTGCCTTCCAAAGAGCAAAGCCCCATTAGGCATCAACTTTCAGATCCTTTAGTTTCCTTTATACATGAGATCAGAGTGTCCCATTAAGTGCTTAAATCAGATTAACAGCCTCTACGCCAGACCTTTCTGGCTCAGCCTGCTAGTAGTTGTGGAGCCAACCACTTTTTATAGAAGCAGTGGAAGGGGATAGATGAGGAGGGGAGAAGGGCTCTGTTTGACCACACTGGTGAATCCCCCGTGTTTCCTTGGCATCTAAGTCTGAAGAAATGAGAGCTGGCAAGCAGCCTGCCCTGAGCAGACCCTGAGAGGAGGCTCCCTGTGGGGATGTGGAGAGTGGCCTGTGACCTCCCAGGAGTGAGTGGTGTTTCATCACTGCTTCTGGTAGTGCTGGTTTACAGAGGTCCCTCCGATGTCAGGAGATCAGGGATTTCTGGACAGTAGGAGAGCGCTGAAGTAGCAACATAAGCAGGATGACACCTGGCCCCATGCAGGGTGCAAATTGTATTTCTCTGTCAACATGGGCTATTGACAGCTCCACATTGACTCTAGATCTGAGTCACAGCAAGCAGACTCCCTGCCTCCTCTTTCTCCAACACATTAAAACAAGCACAAAATATACCTTCCCTTTTTCTTCCACAATTATGCTCCTGTCCTAACCCACCAAGATACTTTATTAAATATTATTTATAGAAATTAAAAATCAATTAAAGATAGCTTACATAGGGAAGAAAAGGTAAAAGTCAATCAGGTTTTAAATTTGAACCAGAAAATCAAAGGTTTAGCAAAGATAGGGCAGCAAAAATCCTGATAAAATCTTTGTGATTAGTCATTATATTTATCTTTGAGCTTCCTGGCAGCCTTAGCAAGAAGGCAAATATGATGGGCTGGGTACTTGTGTTTGGATGTAAGAAAAAACACAAGTTCAACTCCAAAAACACAATCTTTGGAGCTAAGAAGTTCTGAGAGATATTATATGTGAACATGCATGTGTGTTTGTTTATGTGTATATACAATCGTTAATAGTCAATATATATAGTATACAATGGACAGTGTCTTGGAAAACAGTTTTCCAGTCAATGCAGAAGTACTTTTGAGATAGTTCTTTCTTGCTTTGGCACCTAACAAAGATGGAAAGAAAACATGAAAACCTAATTAAGTAAAGGTACTTTACAAAGACAGAGGCAGTATCATCTAGGGTATTTCAAGGCATTTTTTTTTCTTCTTTGTTTTCTTTTTTGGATAGCAGTTGTTTGGTTGGGGCTAAGAGAATTCCCTCTTCTAATCAGCAGCACATGTTTGGGATGCAGCTGACTGGGGGTGGAATTTTTTACTATCTGGTCCACCAGAAGCCTTTACTCCAGCTCAGTGTTGACAGAGCTCAGAGGTACAAAGGGGCAAGTAGCTCCTATAGGAAGCAAAGATTTTCATTTCTGGCTGCCACCCCTCAAAGCTCATTCTTCCTCTGACTGCATTTCCTGTGCATCAGGAGTTCACAATCTTATTTTAACCCCAGCACCAGACCAGAACAATAGACAATGTTTATTATAGCCATTATGTATAACAAACCATTCCAGAAGTTATGGTATGAAACAACCACCATCCATTGGCCCAGAATCCTGCAATAAAGGCTGGGATCACTGGGCAGCCTGTCTCTGCTCTACACAATGGCTCTCCTGGTCATTTGCAATCAGCTGGTGGCCCGACTGGGGCTGAAGGATCCACGAGGGCCTCACTCACCTGTCTGGGGCCTTTGTGGGGTGGCCTAAATGACTGGGCTGGGGAGGAGCCTGGCTGGAGCTTCCTTAGTTAGGGCAGCAAGAGAGCAAAAGCAAAAGGCTGGAACTTGCACAGGGTCCCTCCTGCTGTGTCTTGCTGTGTCAAAGTCCAGCTCAGACTCAGTGTGTGAGGCGGCCACACAAGGATGTGAATTTGGAGAGGTGAAATTGATGGGAGACCATTTGGTAGCAATCGTCCTCAGCCTCCTCCCATCAATACCTTAGTCACAGTAGGTATTGACAGGAGTCAATTGGCAGGAGCCTCACCTGAGGGTTGAGGAGGCAGAGAAGGGGACAGGTATCCCTCTCATGGGGAAGGGTGGGAATTTATATCAGGCCATTTGGTACTAGCCCAGTTCTCACTCCAAATTCTGTGCACTCAGCACTTAACTGCCCCCATCAAAAACCCAAATATCAGACTTTATGAGCTCTATTTAAATTTTTCAAAAAGGATATACTTGGAAGTGATAAAACAGTAAATGTTTTAAGAAGCCTCCTGGCAACGGTGCTTGAAGGCCTTGTAAGTGTGAGACACATTGAGTTATGCTGCTCCATGGCCAACGTCCTGACATTTGTGGGACAGTGGCCTCTTCAGGCAGCTGCAGCTCTCAGAGATCTTGAGGTCATCTTCGTATGGACTGCAGTGAGATATACAGCATGTCAGTGGCAGCCCAGAAGTCAGTCAAGTTTTCTCCAGGCTGGAATGAGGACACTGACAGCCCCCACCAGCCCTAGCTTAGGACAGGAGTCACACTGTTTAAAAGGATTACTTGAATGACAAGAAAGGCCATATGCTCATCACTTTTGCAGAAGCTGGAAACCTGGAAGGGCTGGATTAGAAAACCACTGAGTAATGAAATCGGGGGACAAAAACATTTTGACATCCAAAGAAACAGTGGAAATCTTTAGAAAGGCTGATTAAATAAAAGTAAACATAAGATTCTTTGTTATCACTCAAAGCAGGCACTCATATGTGCACACACACACACAAGCACTTGCACGTGCACCTGCATCCACAGAGATGGGATGGAGGAGGCCTGACTTAGTAGCACCATGTAAAAATAATTTGTAAGTATATGTTAACAGTAAGCTTAATTTGAGACAAAAGTAATCAAAGTTGTTGTGACTTTAGATTATATTAATAGGAACATAGATTCTAGATTAAGGGAGGTGATTTGTTTCTTCTATTCTGTATAGCCCAGTTTACTTTAGAAATATTAGGTCAACTTCTGCATAATACGAAAGGGTTTGAGAAAAACTAACTTAATTAGAGGGAAGTTCAACATGATTAGAGAATTTGAAATCGTGATGTATGTGGAAACACAAGGAGGAACTGAAGCTATTTGACCTGGAGAAGTCCTTAACAAGGACTTAAGAATGGGCTTCAATTCTAAAGCGTTGTTATGTGGAAAGAGGGACTTGATCTGCCTTCTGTGTCTCCAAAATAGGTCCCATTGCACTCATGAGTGGAAGATTGAGGGACCCTGGCATTTGGAGGTCAGAAGAAGGAAGAACATCTAATAGTTGAAGAGGCCCTCTAAGGAATGGATTGCATAGATTTCCCTTTTACTGCAGGGGCTAGATGATCACTCATCAGGCAGACAGAGGGGATTCACACCTTGGAATGGATGCTTGGTTCAAAAGGAACTTTAGAATTCTGTCCAACCAACTATGAGGGCTGTCATGGGCTCTTACCTTAGCTGCTGTAGAAAACATAATGAATGCAGCTGCAGTGCCCTCTCTTGCTGAGGGGTTCAGGGGCTGCTGCTGAGGCCTGTTTCTGTTGCTGCAGGCCTCATTTGCAGTTCTGAAAAAGCAGAGGCATCAAATGCTTAGCCAGGCCCAGGACCACAGGCAGCAAACCAACACCAGCTGTTCACATGGGCACAGCTCCTGGCCATCCACTTCCTAGAAAGATGGAGATCCAGGCAGAGAGTGGATCCTGGGCTGGGGTCTTGGCAGAGGGATTATAGGAGCACCGATGGAGATGGAGACCACTAAGAGGGAGGTAACTGCACTGATGATGGCTTTTCAAGTCACTAGACATGGTTTGAAAGTAGACTGTGCCACTCACAAGCTGCATGATGCTGGAGAACTTGACTAATTCTTTTGAGCTACCATTTTCCCATTGGCTTGTTGCGAAGATTAAATAGACCGTGTGTGCACTGTATATGACCCTGTGTATTGCTGAGCCTCAGGAAATACTGTATTCCCCTCTATGTTTCCCTTCAAAACTAAGCGGTGCTGGCCACTGCGTGGACCACTGAAGAAGACACAGGGAGGGGAATGGGCCCCCCAGGCTTTCTCTGGGGGTCAGTTCACCCTAAAAGAGTGACTGTTGTGATTGCCCCTTCTGCCTCCTGACCTCCCTCCCATGCTAAGTCTGCATTTTCTCCCTGACAGAGGAACTGAAGGAGAAGCTGACCGAATATGTGGACAAGGTGAACAGCCAGAAGCCAGGCTTCATCAAAGTCGTGCGTCACAGCAAGCAGGAAGGCCTCATCCGCTCCAGGGTCAGCGGCTGGAGGGCGGCCACTGCCCCTGTGGTGGCACTCTTTGATGCCCACGTGGAGTTCAATGTGGGCTGGTAAGTGCCCCTTAGGATAGGAGGAGGAGTCCCAGTGGGATCTAGGGCTTCGGCTCCAATAGTGCAAAGCATGCTGGGATCTTGGTCATAGCCTAAGAGATAATTCTGGGAATGGGTGAAATGTGGGTGTGTGAGTGAGCCAGGCAACAAAGCTGGAACTTTAGAGTTTGAGGTGTGGTAGAGGGGAGGGGGTACCCAGGGGTCAACGGGTCAGCACACAGTGCCTAATAGGCATGGTGACATCACATGTGACTCTGGCTGGCAGAGTCATCAGGGAAAAGGGTACATGCTAAGGGCAAAGCAGAGAGTGCCCGGCTAAGGACAGGGTTCCAATGCCTAGGAAAGGAGAGCTGGGCCAAACGTGAGGCAGAAACCCAGCCTCACAGCCAGGGCCAACACCAAGTGGGCAAAGGTAGGGGAAAGTTGCCTAATGTCACAGGTAGCCCGGGCTTTCCCACTGCCAGATCGGAGGTAGCACGTAATCTCAGATTCTCCCTATGGTGAAACTGTCTAAGAAAATCTTTCTTTCTCTGGTCAGAGCTGCTCAGATGCTGGGGGAAAGGGACCAGACAGAAGGCCCCAGTGGCTGCAACCAGCCAGGAATAGAGTGGCAGATGCAGACCTCCCTGCAGGGCTGGAGGGCACAGTGCCACCTGCTGTGTGTAACTTTGCCTGGGCCTGGGAGACACAGGCTGTGGCGATGACCATGAGTAGCTGGGGCAAGTAGGTGGCCACCCTTTTGTCAATAGGCCTGTTGTCACTGGGGTCTGCTCTGCTCCCCAGACTCCACAGTGCCAGCCTCTGCCTCCAGCGAGTGGGAGACGAAGACACTTCAGCAGGCAGGGCGTGCACACAGCCCGGCCTGGATGCTGCCATAACAGGCCCAAATTAAGGCTGCAACACAGTCATTTTTTATAGCTGAAGTCCCTGCTTGCCATTTGTGACTATTTAAACAGAATTTTCTTTGGATTTATGGCCAGGATAGGAGAGGGACACTTACTATTTCAAGCTGATTTGAATAAACAGTTATACACCAAATGTATTATTAATGAGAAGCTTATCATTCCTGTCTGCAAACACATTACTCGCCTGGTGCCTGCAGGGGCTTCCCGGCTCCCTGGGAAAGCCCAAATGCCCCACCCCTCCTTGGGTGGTTGGGGAACCCTTCTGGGGGGTGGATGTGGCATAGCTGGCATTCCAAGGCAGCATTGCATAGCTGGCGGATGTAGGTTTGTTCTCACCTCCTAGTCTCTGCCATCCTCATCTGTCTTTTCCTCCAGATTGATACATAGAATTTTAGCAAAATCAAAGCCCAAGGTGAAAGCTTCTTCTGGACCCTCAGATCTATTTCTTTCTTCTCTTTCTTTTTTACGTCTTGATTTTTTTTTTCTAATGGAGAAAGGGAAAGTGAGCAGGAACAAGGCTGGCTGGAATAAGAATCTCTCAGCTCAGCTCTGGATATGCTGATGGAGTGGTAGAGCCTCTTGCCATCCGGGAAATCCTCAGGGAACGGGAAGTTGAATAGGGGCTCCTTCCCAGAAGGCAGTGCACCTCTCCATCAGAGGAGATGGGCAGGCTTTCCTTCCTCTTTCTGCTGGGGAAGGACCTTCGGGAGATGCTACTCTGGATATTTCCACCTTGGAAATGGTTACCCCCTCTCTGGCTGTCTCCTCTCTGCCCAGGGCTGAACCTGTCCTCACTCGCATCAAGGAGAACCGGAAGCGGATCATCTCGCCGTCCTTTGATAACATCAAATATGACAACTTTGAAATAGAAGAGTACCCGCTGGCTGCCCAGGGCTTTGACTGGGAACTGTGGTGCCGCTACCTAAATCCCCCCAAGGCCTGGTGGAAGCTGGAGAACTCCACAGCCCCAATCAGGTAAAGCAAATCTTTACCTGTGGGTCTCTCTGCTTTGACCTCCAGGCTAGGAACCCCCTACTGGCCCAATGCTTATTCTCCAACTTGAGCCCCATCGTGGGGATGACAGGGGTAGGCAGGGTTGAAAGGAACTGCAGTCTGATCTTCAGTCACTGCCATGGGCTCTGAAGATCTCAGAATCCATTCACAGCCTCAAAGTGACCCATTTCCACACATCACTGTGTCTGGGCGCCAAGCACTGTGCTCCAGATTGGGGATCCAGAGTGATGAAGATTTGGTTCCCACTCCCAAAAGCCTGGAGTCTAGTGAAGACAGACAAAATCGTTGGAATAGGAACATTATTCTACCATGCAGGCAGAAACTGCATTGAAAGTGGAGAAATGCTTTTCAGAGGATAGCATTTTCACTTGTTTTTGAAGGCGAGTAGAAGATGGCTAGGTTGGGGAATGGACGTCCATATGCAAAGTTCACGAACACAGAGAAGGTGCGAAGTGACTAGAAGTGGGAAGCCAGCCAGCAGCCCCAGGTAGTGAGGGTGGAGGGGCTGAGAGGCAAGACCAGACCCCACAGGATAGCATATACCTTGGTGATATTTGAATGTTATTCTGTAAGACTCAGACAAAAGTGACTTCATACTGTATTTCAAAGGTCCCAAATTCTTTCCTGCCTTTGCTGCCATCTTCCTGGACTCATGAATGACTCCCCTGTGCAGTCTTAGCTTTTAAGGTTCAGGACGCCTCCAACAGCTATCTCCACTAGTTTTTATTTCTGTCTATGTTTGTTTTTGTTTTTGTTTTTGTGGCAGAGTCTCACTCTGTCGCCCAGGCTGGAGTACAGTGGCGTGATCTCGGCTCACTGAAGCCTCCGCGCCCCACCCCCCAACCCTGAGTTCAAGTGATTCTCCTGCCTCAGCCTCTCAAGTAGCTGGGATTACAGGCACCTGCCATCGTGCCTGGCTGATTTTTGTATTTTTTAGTAGAGACAGGGTTTCGCCATGTTGGCCAGGCTGGTCTTGAACTCCTGACCTCGTGATCTACCTACTTCTGCCTCCCAAAGTGCTGGGATTACAGGCGTGAGCCACTGAGCCCAGCCTATTTCTGTCTAAATTGATGATACAGTGGGTGTCTTTATGCTCCCTACAAAGTTCTGCCCGTTACAAAACAGAAGGCACCAGAAGGTGGCCTAGGGCACAGTTTTTGGAGTTAAAGAGATTAGAAGCTCATGTTGTTTTGTATTACATGAGGGAGAAAGGATATGAAAAATTTAATTGAAAGTCAGTCATTATTACTTAAGATCACATTTTTCCTCGCCAGAAGAAAAAAATATATACTCACACTTAAAATGGAATAGAAGAAAACACCACCTAACTTTCCTGAAGTTGCCTGTTACCTACTCTGCTCGGCCCCTGCCACAATTTTGTGTTGTTAAACATTTGCTGAGAGTCTGCTATGTACAAGGGTCTTTTACATGCATTGGCTCATTTGATCATCATTATAACCTGTTGACCACTCATGTCTCATCCCTGTTTTACAAGATGAGGAGAGCAAGACTGAGAGAGGAGAATGGCCCTGCCAAAGGCTCTGGGCGGTAGAGCCAAGATCCACCCACGGAAGCTAGACTCAGTGGCTAGTTTTCACCCCTCTATTGTCCACTGTTGAGCTCAGAACGGTCGTAGCTGTTTTCTGCTCCTAGGCCTGATGAATGCTGTTGAAGGGAAATATGCCCCCATGCAATGAGCATTCCTGCAGAAGACTGCATTGACATTAACTGTTTCTGTTCTGCTCATCTCTAACTGTATCAGTCCAGTCTTAATCAGCAAGCCTGCATTCCAGGTCCTTGCCAGACAATGTCATCTCAACCTCAAATTTTCTATCACTCAATTTTTATCAAAAACTTGGTTGAGGGAAATAACTTTTATGGAAGATTTTTGGAAGAACATTCCTGGTTTTATTCCCAGATGAAGACAGCTCCACAGAAAGCTGTGATTTATACAAATGTATCTTGCCCATCCGAGCTCCCTTTGCTTTCAAGCTATACTTTAGTGCTCTGCCCACACGTGGCATAAGTCATAAAAAGAGCCCAGCAGTATCTTCTAGTGTATTCTAAAGAGATGTCTTTGCGATGGCTGCTCCGTAAGTCACCAGGTGACCCCATTAAGAAAATCCACGTGAGAAATTTCTTTCAAACTGACTGCCAGTCAGAGAAAGCCTTGCTGTCCCCAGGGAATCAATTAATGTGACATTTTCACATGAGAACTGTACATTTTGTTTCTAAGACCATGTGTGTTCTTTCCACTTTGACCAACAGGAAACTCAAAGGCAAACTTTCATGTCTACTTCAAGAACAATTGAGAGAGGACTTTGGTCTGCACATGCATTCCAATTTGTTGCAATCTTTAGGTCTGTCTAGACATTTATCTATTTATGGTTTTCTATGTATTTTAAATTTTCTCATAAGCTATTTCTAATCCTTTCAGGAATGAGGCAAGGTGTAAATCAATAACCCTTTCACGCTGACAGAATCCACTTAATACCCTAGCCGGTTAATAATAAACCACTGAGGTGGCCTGTACTCATCTCAGAGTAACTGTTTCAGATTCTGTTCATTACCTGGCTTGAACTGTCAGTTTGAGGAAGGTCCCTTACTGTGTATCCTGAAAGCATTTTTCCAGCGTGCCCTGTCATATCCAACACTTAGGAATGCAGAGGCAAATGCCAAGACCCCACTCTGCCAGCCTGATGTTTCTGAATCATCACATATTTAAAGAGGAGATCTTCTAGACTTAGTGCACAATTGCATCTTTTTACCTTTTTAAATGACCTTTTGAGTGCCAGTTATGTCCCAGAGGCTTCAAGTGTTTTAATTTAGTCTGTGTGAGGTTAGAATGGATCCTATGTTACAGACATGGAATCGGAGGCTCAGAGAGGCTAGGGAACTTCTCTTAGAGACATACACCCAGAAGAGTGATTTTTCCCAGAGAGATTACCTCTAAGGCCTGGGTTCTGTTACCTCCACCACAGCAGGGTCTCAGTCTGCTTTAGGAGTGGTAGATTAGCTTCCCAGGATGCCTGCAGGTCTATGAGGGTGAAGACATTTAGAATAAAATGCAGTGATTTGAAAGGAAGAGAAACAGTGGCTCCAGGGTGCCAGTCTCTGCCTGAGCAGCCTCCTGTATCGGCATTCCCCAGGGAAATGGCCAGCAAACTCGCCTTTCTCCACCTTGATAAGTTTCCATTTTCAAAGACGGGTTCATTTACATGTGATTGACTGATAGTTTTCTCATCCCTGAGGAGCCTTCATTTCTCCTTTTATTCCCCCACTCCCACCAAGTCGTCCAGCCAGGCAAGGGCTAGAAATGATAGCAATAAGCAGTAGAACAATTCAACATCACTGCATAAGCAGTGCTCTCACTGAGAAGCAGCCCCGTGCTCTCATGCTGACTCACCTCATGTGAATCGTTGTCTGTGAGGTGCTGCACTGGGTGTCTGCACAGAGCTGGTGAGACCCAAGCTCACAGCCCTCAAGGAAGGAAAAGCCTTCCAGCTCCTGGACCCCATAGCTGTTGGCAGGTTGTTCCAGCCTAAGAACCCTGTTGAATTAGAGACTCAGGCCATGTACCTAAGCTCTGTCTGTTGGCTATCTCCTCCTGGTGTCACACAGGTACCTTAAGGTCAGTTTTTCCACCACCCAAGCTTCTTTCTTTTGAAACCAGCTTCTTCTCCTGTGCCCATGTATTGATGAGTGGCCCACAACCCACTGTCACCCGAGCCAGAAAGCCAGATGGCATCCAGGTTCCTCCCCCTTTCTCACCCTTGTGTAGTTCATCTGTTTTGAAGTTCTGCTGATTTTACATCAAAATATGTCTTTAAACAATTCCTGTCTCTGTTCCTGATACTCTGACTCAGCTCTCCATCATTTTTCAACTGGATACAGCAATGAGCTTCCTAGCTGGGCCCCTCAATTCCCACCCCTTCCCCTCTGGTCAGTCACCCACAGCTGCCTGACTATTCTCTTTAAAAAACACAGATCTGCTCACACCACTGTCTTGCTTAAAATTCCTCATGGACACCTATTTACCTGCAGATAAAATTCAAATATTTTAGCCCGCTACCCAAAGCCCTTTGCAACCTGGTGCCAGCTAATCTTTCTAAGTGGACCAAGGATGACATACAGATCCTAAGTTGGGGAAGGATAGGAAAACTGGTATGCATTCCCAAGCAGGAACAGAGACTGACTGTGCAGAGGTCAGGGTCAGGGCAGCTAGAGATACAGTCAACCTAGACTGGCAGGCTGAGCACCACCTCTCACAGCTAACACACACACAAGCACCACCCCACTAAAGCTGATCCCAGGATGGCAGCTGTCTGCCCGCTGCCCGGAGGAAACAGCCTTTCTGGAGTGGTTGGGTGAGGCCAGACCCAGGGACCACTCCAGGAACAAGCCTCACACTGGCTCTGGCAGCAGAGGAAAGAAGAGCACCAGATCCTCCTGACAGTAAGGCCTTACTGCTCTTACTCCTCAGACAGCCACACCAAACAGCCCCTCTGCTCACCACTGGCCCATCTCCCCTGCCCCTGCAGGAGCCCCGCCCTCATTGGCTGCTTCATTGTGGACCGGCAGTACTTCCAGGAGATTGGCCTGCTGGACGAAGGCATGGAAGTCTACGGAGGCGAGAATGTGGAGCTTGGGATCAGGGTGAGTGGAGTTTCTCACTCAAAGGGCTCGGCTCAGCTCCCACCAGGGTAATGAGTCTGGGGTGGAGAAATGGGGTTTAAGGTTGAGGGTTACAGACTGATTCAGAACGTCCAGTCCTGAACCCTGGTCCACATGTGTGTGATTGGGATTAGGAAGACACAGGGTGGAGCCTCTTGACTTTTCAGGAAGAAGAGGGCTTTAGAACCTGCTTGGCTGGGGCAGGGAGCATGGGAGAGGTTGAGCTGCCAACTCAAGGGAACAGCCTCTTTTAAAATCAAACTGAGGTCCGTCGGAGTAAGCAAAAGTGTGCTCCAGGAAGCAATAACAGGCATCGAGGGTGGCTGGACAAGAGTGACCCTGAGTCAGCTCCCTTGGGATTTCTCACTCTGACACTCTGTCTTCTCCACAGTGGCCATAGAACATTCCCGAACACTTTGTTAAGAGAGAGCCCGGGGAAATAGACCCAGGGTGTATAAACAGCAAGAGGAAGTCAAGCTCACTGCAGGCTGCTTTCTGACCCCAGGCGCTAGCCAGACACACAGCCCATTCCTGCCTCATGCCATTCTCCTGCCCCAAAGTACAGGGTTTTTTCCAACAATCAGCTCATGGCATGGATCCCCAAGAGGCTCTATGTTATTTCTCATCCTACGGGAACATTTCCTAGGCTTTCTGGCTCCTTCCCCTTGGCTAATGAAAACATAAATCTACGATGAAGCCCGCTTTCCTATCTGAGGTTCCTGTTAGGTCCCCTGGTGTTAGGCAGGAATGCGATGATGGATACAATGAAGGATCTTGTCCTGGAAGGAAGCCTGCCCACCTCTATGACCAGGGATTGCCCTTGGCAGACCCAGTATTGGAAATGCAGGGTGTCCTCCCCATGATGGCCCCCACTGTCTTCTCCATGGGGAACTCACAGCAGTCAGCCACCCCCACACGCTCCAGGCTTGCCGATGCTTGGAAAGAACCCTGTGCCTACTGGTGTCCATAGGGATTATCTGAGATGCTCCACCTCACTGCCAGCCTGTTCACACATCCGTGCAGACCTCATCTGCCTGGTTCCACCTACTGGCCCTACTCTGGCACCTTTGGCCTTAGTGTCTGCATCTGATGTCTCTAATTCTTGATACTCAATTCCCACTGAAGGACTGTAGCGTGGATGCACCCTCCTCTAACCTCTAACCTCCTTCAAACTTCCACCCCACCAGGCAGGCAACAGTCCTTGCCCCTGACCTGAAGGGGAGATTGGGCATCCACAAGGAGCATCTTAGGATGCCTGCAATGACGTGACAGGCACTGTGTGGGGCCTGACTCACCACCCAGACTTAATGCTAGGGCTTTGAGGACTGGCGACATGAACAGCCTGTCTGAAGCTGAGCTTAGAAACCACTTCCAGACACCTGTATTCACTGAAACCCTGAGAAATTGCTTTGGAAGCAGTCAAAATGCATGGACTTATTGGGGAGCTAATGTATTCATGGAGGACAGCTCCTGCATAATCACCCTCGTTTCTGCAGCTCTCTCTACATCGGCCATTTATTCCCCATTTGCGTCCTCGCCATCTCATTTCAGCACTGCTCCTGGATAGATGCTCACCCCAAACATAATATTTTTCACGAGGAGCTGCTGTCAGGAATTCTCTGAGTGGGCCGGACCGCCTCCATTCTCTTGTGTTCTCTGGGTAAAAATGTGCAGGATTAGAGAAAGGAATTAGATTTGTGAACTCTGCTTCCAACATGTGTGTGAGTCAATCACAGAGTGCAGATTTCTGGCTTTTCCTTCCTTAGATTATAAAGTTATAAAGCTATTCTGGAGTATGGGCCTGGGTGAGGCTCTCAAATACAAGTTAAAATGTCTCTGAGTGATTTCGTGTACAGAGTTTAAAACACAGTTTACAATGATATCTATTTTTTTGTGTTTTTTTTTTTTTTCCTCCATCTCTTCCCTCTCAGTTGACAGAGATGAAGTGTCATTGGAGTTGAAGAAAGGGTGGCATTTAAAGCAGAGAACCTACAAGCTGTTAGCTGGCAAAACTGAGTACAAATGGGAGGGATGAGTTCTTTTGAATTTCAGTTCCTCCTTTAAGGGTTACAGAACCACTGATCATCAGCAAAACAGATTTTCTCCTTTTGTATGGTTATTATTATTTGTCTTTCTTTCGTGTTTGATGAGTTAACTTTCCAATGGTTTGGTTTCCTCTATAAAGTAGCACACCTGCCCTAATTACACTATAGGATTGTGTATCAATATGAAAGACATCACTTTTCAGCCTTTGCTTAAGCAGAGACAAATTATTCAAAGTCCTTACCTATCTGGAACACAGAAAGAAAGTTGTTTGTGCAACTACTAAATCCCTGCTTTGTGCCATGGGTTATATTGGCACTTACGTCATCCATCCACAAAACACCCTAAAAATACTATTATTGTAATAGTGGGTTTTTTTTTCCAGATGATACTGTGAAATTAGGAGCTTATGTATATCTCAAGGTCATGTACCTTGTAAGAGGTAGAGAAAGGATTCAGCCCTAGATCTTTATGATTTGAGGACTAGACAGATATACCACAGTGATCTAGGGATAAAAGTACTTTGAGCACCATCTCAAAAAAAGATATTGAAACATCCATGCAGTTATTATCTTCTACTTTATTCACATTTATGTCTACTGAGTCCCTATTTAAAGTCTTACTCTTATTTTGTGCTCTGTTTTTTGTTTTGTTTTGTTTTGTTTTGTTTTGTTCTGATTTGTAAGTCTGCACCACAATGAGAAAAAGGAAGGATCTGCTGTGGCCAAGCATAGGGAAATGAGTGAGAAATAGGAGCTGACATTGAATAGAAAACAGAAAGATTATATAAATGATAACTGTAAAAGTGCTAGAATGCATAAGAAAACATTTAAGGGCTGGCAAGGGATTGAAATTGTTGGAGACTGTTATGGTTTGAATTCAGTGCCCCCAGCCCCAATGTGTCCTAACCTCCTGTGAATGTGATCTCATTTGGAAACGGGGTCCTTGCAGATGTAATCAAGTTAAGATAAAATTGTGCTATATTAGGATGGACCCTAATCCAACAGGACTGATGATGTCCTTATAAGAAGAGGAAAATTTAGTCACAGGCAAACATAAAGCAAAGACCACCATGTGAAGGTGGAGGTAGAGATTGGAGTTATGATGTCAAAAGCTCAGGAACACCTGGGGCTATCGAAAGCTGGAACAGGCAAAGAAGGATCCTTCCCTAGAGGGTTGGGAGGGAACACAGTCCAGTCAATATGTTGATTTCAGACTTCTGGCCTCCAGAGCTGTGAGAGAATAAATTTATGCTGTTTTAGGTGATCCAGATTGTGATACTTTATTATAAGAGCCCTGGGAAACCAACACAGGGACCAAAAAAGTAAGCCTAAGTGGAACCTGGAGAAAGGTTGAGGCTATTCTATATGGAGAACCTGGTGACATTTAAGTTTGTGTTTTCTCGACTTCATAGAATACAGAGAACAGAAAGCCAAAGGCCTGCCTTACTTCCCGTAAAGCTGGGACTCCAAAGGCCTGTTTTCTCAGTATAAAATAGAAATCCTCTCTGGAGAAAGAGCCTTTTAACCCAGGCCACACAATTCCCACAGGGAGAGTTTTAAGGAATATGAATTTACAGTTTTAAAAACATCACAAAACAGACAAGGGAAAAAGAAAGTAACAAGAGGAAACAGCAGCAGTATCAGTGGATAGCCAAACCGGACCCACAAAGTCTCCAACTTTTGAATCCATCAGACACGGAATATAAACTAGGTTATATCATACACTTACAAAAATAAGAGATTGAAAATATGAATAAAGAGCAAGATACTATAAAAATAATCAGTCATAGTAGGATAAAAATGGAATTTCAAACATGAAAAATGTAAAAATGGCAATTAAAAGTTCAACAGATGGGCAGAATAGCTATGTGAATACTATTAAAGGAATAAAATTAAGAAACTGGAAAATAGATCTAAAGAAATCATTCAAAATGAGCCCAAGGGACCCAGAAAAAATTGTGAAAAAATATTAAAAGACATGTAGAATTGAAATTGTGGATTTAATATCTTAAAATTCCAAGCAGAGATGATCCTTTTCTCCAGAGAGGATTTCTATTCTATACTGAGAAAACAGTATGGAGGGTTAGGCAAAAGCCATATTTAAATAAATGAGGGCTTAAAATTTTCCCAAACTCATAAAAGACACCAATCCTCAGATTTAAGAAGTCATGCCATCCAAAGTGAGGTAAACATAAAGATATCCCCATTTAGATATACCATAGAGGAACTACAGAATATCAAAGACAAATAAAAGATGACAGCAGTCAAAGAGAAAAGATAGATGACCTAAGTCAATAATAATTAGAATAACAGCTGACTTTTCAACTGTAACAGTGGGACCCAGAAGACTATGATATGTCTTCCTTACACTGAGAGAAAATAATTGTCAACGTATAAGTGTATACCCAATTAAAACATCCTTCAAAAACTAGGGTAAAATAAAGTCATCTTCAGATACACAAAAACTGATAGAGTTTGTCATTAACAAGAACTCAAGAAAATAAGTTATGAATGATACACTTCAGGCTTAAGAAAAAAGATCCCAGAAGGAAGTCTGAGACAAAAGAAGATGAGTAGCCTCAAAAAGTGGTACATATATGAGCAAATATAAAGAAATATTGATGACAAATAATACAGGGTAGTGTCTTGTGGAGTTATTAAAACTATAATATATGATGACAATAGCATATAGCTTAGGAGGGAGTGATTGGACTCAAGATGTTCTAAAATACCTACATTGTTAATGAGGATGGAAAGAATGTTGTTTAAATTTTGGTAACTTAAGTAAATATGTTAGAATTTCCAGGAAAGTCATAAAAATCATAAAAATAGAAAATATAACTTCCAAAGTAATAGAAGAAAAGTAAAGTGTAAAAGTGTTATACAAGAGAGAAGTAGAAATATAGATCATGCAAAGAAAAAGCATACAATAAGATG